ATGGATGTTAATAGGTTAGGGGGTTTCCAGAGAATGTGGGGTGAATCACGATTTCGATAAGGGTTTATATTCCTCCCGCTCTCGTCCATTCTTGCCTCCCTTCCTCTCCTTCATCCTCCTCCTCCTCCTCCTCCTCCTCCCTCTTCCTGCCACTTGCTCTTCCTCTTTCTCCTCTCTTCACTCGTTTGTTTCTCCGTCGTCACTTTTCACCATACCTCTCCTCCTCCTCCTCCTGCATTACGCCGGCTCTGGCTGTTGCCGTTTCTCCCTCTTCTTCCTGCCACTCGCTCATTGAAAACCGGCTCTAGGGCTTACAGTGTGCCGAGTTTGCACGTATATGGATGCCTCCTCTCTCTTTGGCAAACGCGCGTGTTAATACACATCCCATATACACATACATACGGAGACACGCGTGTCCGTATACGTACTTACTTTATAGTGCCGATGTCAGAAACACGTGTACGGCTCGTTAGAGCACGGTGAGGCTCCGTTTGCCACCCACTTATGTATCACAGGTATTTGTAACGATTGGCCGTCAATAGAGATAGCTCAACTTTCTTCGAACGACATCCTTTTTTTTCAAACGTACATTTAAACTCGTAAATATTCCGCCGTTTTTTTCTTTCGATAATACGACGCTTATATTTTACTTGATAGCGTTGCGAACAAACGCCGTTTTCGATAATCGATCGTTAATCACCGATTAGATTAAATTTGGATGGATTTGAGACAAGAAATCTTTTTTTTTTTTTTTGCTGTGATCGTTTAAATTATTGGTTTTCAGTTGGATGATCAGATTTATTACACAATGAATTTATAAGATATACGAAGTTCCGTTGAGTTCATTTATCGTTACGAAAAGATGAAATTTCAAATTAGGTTTTTGTCGTGATATTTATTTCCATTTCCCGTACTACAATCAACGATATAATCCGTTCAGGCTGACTTACAAAGTTACGAATTTACTCTTCCGTGTTTTGGAAACAAGTGGAAAATATTAAGAACAACTGTTGCAAAATGGTTACGATTAATACAAAAATCAGAATTTTATAGAATTTTAATACAAATTAATATTTTCGTTGTTAAAGTACTTCTTTATTTTCTTCCTCATTTCTCTCGATTAATTGCTTAACGTCGTTGAATTGACGCATTATGATAGAAAGAATAGATTTTATACAATAGATTATAAAATAGTATTAACAAATAAATAAAAATTCGCTTTAATCATCATGCCTTTTATATATATATATATATATATATATATATATTATCGATTTAACTACACTCATTATTTGATAATCATTCGCATAAAACATCGATACTAAATGATACGACTACGAGTTCATTTCATAGTTTTTCGAACAGTCGCATCCTACAGGTCCAAGCTTCGCGATTTGTTCGATATATATCGCGACACAGTTTGCAGGATATGTAGGTGTAAACCCAGAGATTGTGTGTCGTGTAGGGCGCTCTCCGCCTCGGCGTATAGAGATGCGCGTACACATAGAGCGAATGGAACATCTAGCTAAGGTATATAGGTAGGCAGGGACTAGGTACTATCTAGTATCTAGTAATACCGGGTACTAGGTACGTACGCGCCGCGGACGCCAAATAGTGGTTCGCATATTCAGAGAGATAGCGACGTCGCTCGGTGCGATCGCCCCTGATTTAGGCCTCGTTCCTCGTATCTCTCTCTTTCTC